CCTTAGCTAGCTCTATTAAATAGTAGTAGTATAAGATTACCTAGCACTAGTATAAAGTATTTACGTATACCTATAAACCTACCTTAATTTATAGTAAATTATAGTAAGTTATAGTAAATTATAGTATATTATAACTGTCTACTATTATTATCCTTAACTAGCTCTATTAAATAGTAATAGTATTAAATTACCTAGTATTAGTGTAAGGCAGTTGCGCGTTTCTATAAACCTACCTTAATTTATAGAGATTTATAAAGAGTTGCAGTAAATTACAGAGAGTTATAGAGTATTATAAAGAATTAAGGTAAATTATAGAGAATTATAGAGATTTTATAGAGAGTTATAGATAATTATAGTAAATTACAGATAGTTATAGTAAATTATACCTATCTACTATTATTATCCTTAACTAGCTCTATTAAATAGTAGTAACCTAAATTTACCTAGTACTTATATAAGGTATTTGTACGTTCCTATAAGTTCTTCCTTACTATTATAACTAATATATTTATAATACTAATCTATTTAATTTCTATTATATATAATTAAACTATTAATATATAATTTCAAGGTAGAATATTAATACCTAATTTTAAGGCAGGATATTAATACCTAATTTTAAGGTAGGACATTAATAGGTAGATAAATCTCTTAACTTATTACCTATTATTATTCTATTTTAAGGTAAAGGTATTTTACCTAGCTAAGGTCTTATATTAGTGTTACACTATAAATATAACTTATAGTAGGTAGAGAGTATTTACTAGTTCTACCTCTATATAAGTACTTACTATACTCTATCTTAACTCTTACCTCTATAATCTTAATTTAAAGTTAACTAATACTATATTAAACCTTTTTACTAATTCTTATAATAGTGTAACTATTCCTAGAGCTATCTACTTTATAGTCTTAATACTAGAAGCTCTTACTAATAACCTACTAGTAATCTATATATATAACTATACTATAAGCTATATATAGTGCCTGTTTATAGTAGTCTACTTTAACTAGCTACTATAACTAGTAAGACTACTACCTATAGCTAATAGCTGTAATACTAATAATATAATAAACTATCTATACTAGGAGTTATTATTCTTAGCTAGTTTCTAATAAAGTATAGTTTACTTCTATACCTAGCTATAACTATAATACTATAAGCTAGACTATTATTCTAAGCTTAATTAAGAGTAACGCTCTACTCTGCCCTCTTAGTTAGGTATAGAACCTATAGAATATCTAAAGCTTTCTTTAGGCTATTAGAGTTAGTATATACTTTTTACTCTAGAGATATATTATAAGAATCTAGGCCCTTTAATATTATAGTATTACTAGATTATAAAGTTCTTCTATTCTAACCTTTTTATAGTTCTTATAGAAGATATACAGCTTAAGCGTAGCTATACAGTCTTTATAACTATTCTCTATAATAATTATAATAGTAGGTACTACTATATTAATAATAGAGGTAACCTAGTTATTATACTCTTTATATTAGTGCTAGACTTAGGGTTTTACTTCTTTAGCCCTGCCTCTTATACCCTCTAGAGTTACTCTTTTAATAGGGTCTTTATAGTAAACTAGTATTACGTTCTATTTAATAATAATTATAGATATAGAGATATAGGTAGAGTCTAGTGTTTAGTCTATAGAGTAGTATATTAACGTTCTAGGTAATTATAAAAGAGTAGTAGTTAGGTTAGAAGATTTATAGTAAGAGTAAATAGAAGGCTCTATAAGCTTATTAATAGTTAAATAAAATAAATATTAATAGTAAGTACATAGTAAATTCTATACGTAATAGAAGTAAATAGATAATATAGAGGTAAAATAAACTGTAATTAAAAAACTAGACAGTACTAACCTATATAGAGTTTAAATAATCTAATATACGCTAATACGTTAGAGCGCTACTAATTTACAGCAGATTATAACTAATAACTATAATTAATAGTAAGTTATAATAGATAGTATAATATAAAAACTAATATATAATTTAGTAAGGATATTATATTATAAGTCCTTAACTAAAGATCTACTACTATATAATAGATAGGTATTTATAGAAAACAGTAGTAATTTACTATCTCTTACTGTAAATTATAGTAAACTATATAGAATTATAATAATTTATATATAAACCCTAATAAATATATTAAGGTAACAGCTACTGTGACAAAGTTAAAGGAGTAGTAATAGATAATTATAAGGAGTAGTAAATAATAGTAAATTATAGTAAGAAGGAATAGGTTACTATTAATTATACTATAGTACTATAAATAATAGTAAATTACTATAAATAGTAGTAATTTACTATTTATATAAGTAAGAAGTAGTAGATAGCTATTCTTATATCCTATATTAATAAACTAAGAGTGTACTCCTTTATAAGGTAAGTAAACATTTCTACTATACTTATTATATAACCTTAAACGTCTATAATATTAGTAGAGATATATAGTTAAAGAAAAAAGAGTAGTAATAGTACTTTATATACCTAGCTAAAGAATATAAAGAGCCTATTAATAGGTAGATACTTTTAGCTTAAGCCTTCTCTCTCTTCTATTACTATATTATTATAAGTCTTAATATAGAGAAGGTATCTTAAACGTATTACTACTCTATAATATTAGCTCTTCTTTATTATTATTATTATTATCTAAGAGAGCTTACTCTAAGTTAATATTATTTAGATCTTTATTAGAATTAGGCACTACTACCTATAGATAGTTAGGCGTCTTCTATATACTTAGAGGTAGCCTATTACTAAGCAGAGCTAGTATATTATAACTATTTATCTTATTATTAGTTATACTTTTCTATAGTATAGGCTTAGGCAGAGGCTCTCTATTTATATATCTTAAGAATATAGGCTTAATTAACTTAGATATAACCTTAACTATATTATTATAATTAGATAATATAGTAATTTACTAGGGTAAATACTTTATAGAGAGGTCTTTTTCTATAAAGAAGTTTATTACTACTCTATATAGAAGTAGGCTAAATACGCCCTAGCTAAACTTCTTCTTAAATAGGTTTTAATATTTACTCTACTTTAGGTAATGTAAGAATATCCTCTACCTATTAGAGTTAAAGTAGTAGTTAGCCTACTCTTACTCTACTCTTTACTTCTACTTATATAAGGTAAAAAGCTACTCCTTAGTAATTATTACCTAGCTAACCCTCTAGGTAGAAGGGGTGTTATACTACTTAATTAACCTCTTAAGGTAGATATACTTAATATATAATATAGTTATAATAAAGTAATACCTTATATTAGCTATAATACTAACTGCTTCTACTATCTCTAAGCTCTTAAGTAGCTACTAGAAGCTCTCTATATTCCTCTATAATAGTATAGAGCCTACTAACTCTCTTCTAGGTATTAACTTAGGTAGATTAATACTATGCTTCTTAACTATATAGTAGTCCTAATTAACCTTACTACTAGATCTAGTATTACCTCTATTACTATCTTCTTAAGGCACTATACTTAGCTAATAGAATAGCTGCCTACTAGATATAGACTCTAACCTTTATAATACTAAGACTATATACTAGTCTTTAATAGCCTCTACCTAGCTAATAGTAATATACTTAGTAATTATCTAGGTAGTTATAATAAGGCCTACTCCTAGTAACTTTAACGCCTAGTTATAATACTGTTACTCTTTAGAGGTAAGAGTAATCTAGTTATTCTTAGCCTTCTACTAATTCTAGGTACTAGCTATAGTTTAGATAAGCTCCTTATTAAACTTATATAAAAGCTACTAGTTAGCCTAATAGGTTATCTTCTTCTTTCTCTACTTACGCTTTTCTTCTATTAGAGAGGTGTTATTACTAACTATAAAGTCTTTCCTATCTTCTTTATTATTACTCTTAGGGCTGCTCTCCTTCTAGATATTAGTAGGGTTATTATATACCTAGTTAATATACTATATTAGCTACTATTAAGGTATCTTAGATACTATTTATTATAATATAGACTATAGGTCTCTTATAATAAGATACTAGATATCTTCTCTCTGTAATATTACTATTATAAATATAGTTTATTTATTAATACTATATACCTTAGTGTACTTAAGTAGGTCCTTTAAGTTACTATTATTTATAGAGACTAAGTAGTTATCTAGCTTAATTATTACTAGTAATACTATAGTCTTTTAAGATATAATAAGGAGAAGAAGAAAGGCCTAGCATAGAGTAACTATAGAAGAGGGTTAGTATAAGGTAATACTAAAATACGTAAAATTATATACGTATAATAGTAAAACCCTAGAGAATATATATTTAACCTTCTTATATAAGAGTAACCTATATTACGTATAGTAGGTTTAGCCTATATTATATATAGTAAGTTTAACCTAACTCCTAATATTAGGATTAAATAAGTAGAGTATCCCTTAATACCTTTACTATATAAAGAGAACTAATATTAATTATTACTAATATTTATTTTATATACGTCCTACTAGAAGGTACAGCTAACTAACTAATAGGGCTGTATATAGGTACTAGTTATGTATTAGGTTAGGCCTAATCTTAATATTTATTAATATAAAGTATCTTCTCTTCTATCTTCTACGCTAGTATAAGGTTAATATTACAGCTTAAATATAGTAAGATACGTAAGCTCTATAGGAATATAATATATATAAGAAGTGTACCTTAGATTAACTCCTCTCTAATATTAACCTTACTATAATATTTATAGAATTATTAATCTAGGGATGTTATCTATAACAGAAATATATAATAAGGGCCTAGTATAGGTATAGGATCTTTTATAATTAATTAGCCTAAGGATATTAGACCTATTATCTAAACTAGATTATAAGAGCCTTAAAGAAATAGTTAAGCTATAGATTAAGAGGTAGTTCTTTAACTAGTGTAGAAGTAGGTATAAAATATAAGTATCTAGTCTATCTATTTCTTTTATTAATCTAAACTACCTATTAGTTCTATCTACTTATCTATATTAATTATTATATCTACCTTTCTAACGTCTTCTTTCTACCTATAGATTCTATTAATTAATCTTCTTACTTAGTAACTTAACCTTTCTATACTACTTAGTTATACTACCTAATTAATAGGCTAATAGATTAAACTCTACCTACTCTTTCTCTATTATAGTTATTAAAACTCTACCTCTTATCTTCCTTTCTAACTTTCTATCTTTACCTAACTATAGACTATATAACCTATCTCCTTATTAATACTAAGTACAGCCTTATTATTTATAGATACTATAGGTACTGTATTCTTCTAGACTAGGTTAAGGCCTACTTTAATAGATAGTATAGTATAATACTAAGTATAAATAAGCGTAGGGTACTATAGTCTACTATATATAATACGCCTAAGTACTTATTATATATACTATATTATAGTATAGACGCGTATCTAAGGTTTACTACGCCTATACTATATATCCCTAGCCTATATATATTCTATAACTTAATTTAGTGTATACTATATACGTATACTCTAAATAGCTAATATATAACTAGTAATATAAAGGTATACCTAAGAAATATACACAGCCTCTCTAGCTATAACATAGGGCTTACTAAGCTAAAGGCCTAGTTCTAGTAGTAGGTAAGGTAGTAAATACCTATTATTAGCTAACGCCTAATAATATCTATAGGGCAGAAGGACTATCCTATAATAAAGTATTTTAAGGTAATAGTTAATATAATTAAGATACTTAATATACTATTAGCTAAGAAGTAGTTATTAGATAGTAGTAAATCTACTTAAGAGGAGGTACTCCTAGCCCTAGTACCTAAAGCTACCTATAAGGATTTAGATAGAGTAGGTATAGTAGACGTAGTCCTAAAGAGGGTAGAGGAGGATAAGGAGAATAAGAAGGATAAGAAAAAGAAGAAGAAAAAGAAAAAGAATAAGAAGAAGAATATTAGTATTAAGTATACTCCTACTACTAACCTTATCTTAATACTAGAGGTATAGTTAGTATTTATAAAGCTTAGATCTAAGTAAAAGTGTACTACTTACCTAAGTATAATCCTCTCTACCCTAGCTATATAGACTAAGCTATAGCTCTAGTATACTAAGTTTTAGGAAGTAGTTAAGGGTCTAACCTAGAAGTAGGCGTAGTACTATATAGAAATCCTACTTATAGTATATAAGGTCTACCTCTACTACCTCTATATAATAATTAAGAGTATAGGCTATATATAGCAGAATAGTATAGTGTAGATAACCTACTCTACTTATATCTATATTATATATAAAGACCCTAATAACGTCCTAACTAAGCCTTTAGAAATATACTAGAACTTTAATCTATATTACTTTAGATATCTATAAAAGGTCTTTATCTTTTTTTTTTATATCTATTAGTATAGTCTCCCTAAACTACTAATACTATAGATATAACCTAATTAGAGTATAGTATAGAATATAATTAAGCGTTACCTTAAGTTAGCGTTTAGAGTAGAAGAGAAGATAGAGGTACTAGCCTATAGCTATATATATATAGTTCTATTACTACTAAAGTAGCTTTACTATAACTTCTAGCTAACACTGCTAGAGTAGATAGTAGGTAAGTATAACTTTAACCTTACTCTTTTTATACTACTTACTCTTATTATAGTTAATAGTAGAGGCTAGGGCTTTTAGTAGGTATATATATATATAACTAACCTCTTTATATTTAAGTACTTTATATACTTTACTAGTATCTAGTAGCTCTAGAATAAGTTTATAGTAGCTATATAGGACACTATAGAGAAGAAGTAGAAGAAGAAGTAAAATAATATTACTATAGATAAGCCCTGCCTAGATACCTACTCTATAATAGAGAATAAGGTAGTAGGCCTATTTACTAAGTACACTATAGCTAAGTATACTACTATAGAGAGTAATAACTATACCTTTACTAATAAGTTTAAGATATATATATAGTAGTACTTTACTACTATATATTCTATACCTATATTATAGCTTATCTTAATAGTAAGGTACCTTAGTAAGCTCTAATATAGTAATAGGCTTAATACGTTTATAAGCTAAAATAGTAAAAAGGTAATATACTATAAGGTTAGTACTACTATCTCTACCTTCTTTAGTATAGTATAGAAGGAGTATAAGACTATATTAGCTCTACTATATAGACTTACCTTTATTAGCGTATACAGTAAGCTACCTAAGCTACTATAGGCTAACCTAATAAATAACTTTATAAATAAGCTAGGTAGGTATAGCCTTCTTACTATTAATAGCGCTGTACTTAGTAAGGAGATTAACTTTATATAGTTAAAGATAGTATAGGCTCTTTATACTAGTACCTATAAGAACCTAGCTATAGCTAACCTAATATATAGTATATATATCTAGTACTATAGTAACCTAGTGTAGGAGTTCCTTAGCTACCTAGTTATACTTATCTACCTTATTAGTAGCTAGCCTATGTAGGGGATAGAGCTACTAAGCCTATAGTATAAAAACACGTATAATATTAGTATATATAATATATTCCTATATAATAGCCTTATTACCTTTATTCTCTACTACTATAAGAGCTATAACTATAATTACTTAGTTAAGACTATCTACTACTTTCTACCTAGAGAGGTTAGTAGTCTACTACTATAGTACCTTTAGCTAGTATACCTCTTTTATAACTAGCTCTAGTTAGTAGGGCCTAATAATCTACGCAGTATCTACTACTAGTAGGTTACTAGTACCTTTTTATAGCCTAATATTAAGGGTACCTAGTAGGAAATGTTAGAGCTACTAAGTAAGTACCTACGTAAGGTATTCCTCTTATTACTAGGCTAGGCTATTAATATTAGTACTATATACTATCTTATAATTACTATAGGCTAGTAGTTAGCTAAGTAGTAGAGTAAAAAGCTCTAGGAGTTAATAGTAGATAAGGTTAATAAGCTACTTAAGAAGGCTACTAATAAGGTAAAGAAGATATAGTTAGAATACTTACTTACTATAGTATACAGCATTTATACCCTTAATATTACTAGCCTTTTCTTCTATTAGTTTAAGTAGCTAGTTAAGCACTTTAAGATATCTACTATCTAGTATACTAATATAGGCTTTTAGCCTATAGACAACGCTGTGCCTACCTAGTCTACCTAGAATATAGTATAGTGTATACTAGCCCTATACTACCTATAGAAGTAGTTAGATATTAACCTTAATATCCTCCTATACTAAACACTTAGTAATAGAGTATACTTCTAGGGCTAGTAAAAGAAAGCTATATATATAGTTATAGCTAGCTAGGCTATAATAGCCTATATTACCTTAACTAGAGCTAGTAAGAGCCTTAGCTTCCTACTTCTAGCCTACTATAAGAACTATAGTATAACTATTATTATAGCTCTTCTTATAGCTCTCTATACTAATATTATAGCTTACTATAGGTATATACGCCTATTATTAACTATTTAGTAAAATAGTGTCTATAAGGAAATAGCTAAGATTATACTTATTATACTAGAGAACCTATCTAGTACTATATTTATATCCTTTACTAAGTATCTCTACAGTAGTAGCTAGCTAGAGTAAATTATTATTAATAAGTTTTACTATATTCTTCTCTCTAATAGTAACTACTACCTATAGCTACTTAACCTCTAGGCCCTAGTATAGTATACTACGCTGCTTACTCTACTATTAGCTATAATTCTAATAACTCTATAGAGTAAAGCCTTTTATTACCTCTATATTCCTAATAATACTATCTCTATCTATAAGTCTACTATGTATATAAATATAGTATATAAAGTTATCTTCCTATAGTAGCCTACTACTATATACACTGCCTAGGATATAGCTAACTATATCTATTATTTTAGGTTTATAGCGTATTTATGCTTGTAGTATAGGCAGATAGACGCAATACAGTAAGAATTTAATATAGTAACTTAGTGTAGAAGCTAATACCTAGCCCCTTTTTGCATAGTAAATATTAGTAGGAGTATATAGTAAAGGTAACAGAGAGCTAATTAGTATACTATCTCTTAACAACTAGCTGCTTAATGTACTAATACAGACGCGTATTTAAGAGCCTAGGCAGCTGTTAGTTAAAGTTTAGTTTGGTTGTAAACCCTAGATTGTATTATAAACTATAGCTAGGTTGTAAAAACTCTTTAATTAACTAGTAATCCTAAATACATAACTAGGGCAGCTTTAGTAGGGGTGTAGGCAACAACAGTTTATGTGGATAAGCTAGTACATAAATATCCTTTGTACCTTAGGAGTCTTTATCTATCTATCTTATCTTTCTTTACAACTATAATTATGGCTAACTAATAATACGACCCTATTAGCGCAGCCTAGGTGTTCCTACGCTGCGTCTTGCAGTAAGCTAATAAGCAAAGGATTAAGGTAAGTAATCTCTAGTACTAGTGCAGCTTAGAAATATTAGAAACACCTTAGCTTATTAGAGAGATAGGGAGGGTTATTACTGCTCTGGATATCTCTAGTAAGATCTCTAAGGACCCAGTTAGGTAGTAGGAGGAAATAGAGGGTATTACTTGGCGCAACAGTAATACCTTCTACCTAGAAGATAAAGATATCTTGCAGCGCCTTAAGCTTAATAAGAGACTTAGGGTACAGCTCTACAAGGTTAGAGTTTAGCTCCTCCTTACACAAGTTTATAAGACTAACAGGGCTTTCTTTAATGCCTAGCTCTTCTAACTTAACAAGCTTACTACTAAGCAGCGCAATAATGCTGCTCTAACTAAGGATAAGAGCCGCTTTGAGCGAGCTTTTATGGATCCCAGGTACACTGCCTGGAAAAAGAGAATTATGGTAGCGATCCAGGAGGTGCGATACCTCACTGCAGGGCTGTACGATTGATATGGAATGAGGACGAAGCTAGAAGTGGCAGCGATGGCGACGTCGACGGTGATGGCGATGGCGATGGCGATGGGAAGCGGAGGGTTGCGACCGGGTCGAACTTTGGCTAGGGTTAGGGTTAGGGTTAGGGTTAGGGTTAGGGTTAGGGTTAGGGTTAGGGTTAGGGTTAGGGTTAGGGTTAGGGTTAGGGTTAGGGTTAGGG